AAATATGAAATCTCTTAGCCAAGTAGAAAACTGTAACTGTTATGGGTATTACCCTACATAGTCATCATATGCATTACATATTAAATTAAACCCAGCATTGAATATGCTTGCACAATTATGCTGTGAATGATAGCAGTGATGATGCTAGTGAAAAAGGACTATTTTTAGCACAAAGAATAAGGGGAGAAATGTAAAAACAAGTAGAAAGCTGACAAAGAGTTTGGTATTTTCTGACCAGAAAATATAATTTTAAACATAGGAGTATAAAAAGAAAACTATTTTCTTATTTCCCCTTTGTGGAAATAATATGAAATATTTATTATTTATTTTATATATCACACAAGAACAGAACTAAGTAATCCAACTCTATTACAACATTATAAAAATCATCCCTTCACCATAGTGTAAGATTTAAATGCATCTACAAAAGGGTACTTGTTACTTAAAATGTAGTAAGATTGCTGTTGCCCTTCCAAGTACTTCTAGTCCCTACCCAGGCCCTACTGCAAAACTGATGGTGCCAGTAGTTTTATCGAAATAAATCATTAAAAAAAAGAGTGAAATAAGCCAGGCGGTAAAAGACATATACCATATGATCTCACCTTTAACAGGAACTTAAACAACAAAACAAACAAGCAAGCAAAATATAACCAAAGACATTGAAATAGAGAACAGGCTGACAGTGACCAAAGGGGAGGGAATTTCAGGGGAAAAGGGAAGAAGGGTTTACAGGAACAAGTATAAAGGACACATAGACAAAAACTAAGAAGGGTGGAAATGGGAGGGAGGTGGGGAGCACTGGTGGGGTGAACTGGGATGGGAGTAAAAGACAGAAAACTGTACTTGAACAATAATTAAAATAAATAAATTTAAAAAATAAAGCATTTAAAAAGAAATCAAAATGCCTAACTATATATTAACTCAAACTATATATTTGCTTCCCACTAATAAATCTTTATTTCACTGAAACTGAGCAATAAATCTTTCATACTGAAGTATCTTTTGCCCAATTAATTCCAAGGAAAACACCAAAATGATTAGTAAAGAAAAAGGTAGGGTTTAACACACCCTTTAAATTTATTTAAAAATATTTTTAAGATTTAAAGTGTTTAAACTTTATAATTCCTAGTGGGGAAAACATTGTATGAAAGAATACTATAATGGTAAACCACTGTCAAATGTTACAGCTACATTTGGGGCAGAGGGGGAGGGATACTCTTCAACACACTCCAGCTTCTTCATGAGGTCAGAGGTACATTGGTTTGTATTATTGTGACATCCATTGGGTGATCCAAGTTGCTTTTCCTTCAGCAGGGGCTTTATCTGTCAGAAGGACTTTACTCTTGACCTCCAAATTTGGCTGACAATTTACTGATTAGATTCATAACCTTTGGGTTGCTCTAGTATTTTGATATATTTGCTAAGTTCTGAGCCACATCCTGGAAGGCCACAATAACTTCTGAATTCTGCATGGCTACAAGAACCTCTAGATCACTGAGAATTTCATTGAGCCCAGGCATTCCTCCAGGAAAGCTACCTGGAAAAGAGCCATACTGGGTTTCTGATTGTTGTCTGGCTTCTTCCTCTTTCTGAGCTCTCTCATGTTCTTCCTGAGCCTTCTAAACCCTTTTTATTCTTTATTTGATCTCTTGTTCTTCACGTTTCTGCTCATATTTTCTCTGATCTTCTGCAATTTTCTGGGCCCTCAGTTGAACTTTCAGCATTGCACTAGCATCTTCCTCATACTCCAATTTACATGCAAGAGCAAGATCATGGGCTGCTTCCCAATGGCCCAGAAGTCTGTGTGCTTTCCCTCACCATTTATTAGGCTGAGCTGAGTCAGGATTTACTCCAGTAGCTCTGTCACATCTCTGATGGCACCATATGGCTTCTGTAATTTTATGAAGACACAGGCTCTTTTGGCATACAGAATGGCCAAGTGAGGATTCAGCTCGATGGCATCTATAAACAAGTCAATGGCTTTCTGCACTTCACCATCATTTAGGGGGCATCAGTGGCAGCCACATTTTTATTGTTTGCCTCATCCATCATCTCCTTGGTTATCTCTACACGTTCATCTCTCATTTCCTGAGGGGTGTCAGTGTCTGCTTCAGTCACACTCTCATTGTCAGTTTCTAGATCACTTTCCTCATTATGGTTCGTCTGTCTTTATGTCTTCCTCCCACCTTGTTACTATTTGCTTTTTTCTTCTGATTTGGTTTTATTAGTAGCAGGTGGCATTTTACCTTCTATACTCTCCATCTCCCTCAGGAAGCACATGTCCTTGATATGCAGAATGGTTGGATCCTGCCTACACATTTTCACAAAGGCCAAAGCTTGCTCATTTTGCTTGGCTCTTGGCCAGGAAGCAGGGGGAGGCAGCAGGCCCCACTAAGGTTGCTAACTGGGTGTGACCATGTAGGAGGATGCAGCTCAGACTTAATTTTGAGAGACATTTAGTTCTAGTTCATTCTAAGCAGTGCTTTCCCAAGTCAGTGATGTGTATTATTGACTGCTAAATCAAAACAAAACAAACAGCAATTACCAAAAAAAAAAAAAAAAAACAGCAGTCATCAGAGATTAGTAACAGAAGCAAAAGAACCACAACTTAACATTTATAATGCTAGGATACAACCTAAAATTCCTCAAGATACCAAAAAACCCACCAAAAAACCCCACCAAACAAACAAACAAGAAAAACAACCCTCAAAAACTGGTTTCGGGTGGGGAGAAAAAGGAACAAAAATTGGTCTCTTCATATATTTCATCTTTAGAAGAGCTGCATTGAATGTTATGTGTATGTGTCAGTAAGAGGTGTGAGTACTCAGAATTTGGGGATCCCTTCCTTCTCTGTCTTTTTTCTTTCTGGAAGCTCCCTACCTCTTCAGTAGCCAAATATTACCCAGTTTCAGTCTTCTGGTTCTCCTGGCCAGAAATACTTTCTCATCTTTTTACATGCACTTGTGTGGACTGCCCTTACCTAGCCCCAGTCTAAAGGAAAACTAACTTTCTGTAATACCCTTCCTCCTGTGTGTACTTGCCTTAAGAGTCTATCTGCTTCTGTTCATTCTTTATGCCTATGTGCATTATGAGCAGATTTTAGAGTTGTGTTCTGTGTGGAGTTGTTTGTTATAGTTTACTCCACAGATGGCAAACACAAGGCCCTCAGGCTAAATCCGGCTCTCCACCTTGTTTCTATACAGCAATAGCACTGAGCCCTATGCCTTAGGAATGGCCCTATGCCTGTAATGTTCAGGAATGGTTGCATTTATAAAGTTCTAAAATTACATTTGGCTTTTTGAAGGCAACCATGAGGCTGATGTGGCCCCCCAGTGAAAATGAGTTTGACATCCCTGGCATTACCAGAAGGAAAATATGTCATTTTAAAAAATGATTTCATTATTGTGCCCTAGGTTGTGTGGCTCAATGGATTGAGTGCCAGCCTGAGAACCAAAGGGTTGCTGGCTCAATCCCCAGTCAGGGCTCATGCCTGGGTTGCAGGCCAGGTCCCCAGTGGCAGGTGTGTGAGAAGCAACCACCCATTGATATTTCTCTCCCTCTCTTCCTCCTTTACCCCCTCTCTAAAAAGGAATAAAATCTTTAAAAAAAAAAGTTCACTTGAACAGTACGTGAATTTAAGCAAAAGGTGTGAAGGCTTTATATTTGAAGTCCAGGTCAGCATTTTATTAAAACACTGTTTTAACAGTAGGATCAATTGAAATTTAAGTCTCTTTTGATGTTTCCCAAGGTGTCTCCCTCTACTTCACCTCATACAAAGACAGATCTTAATTCAGCTGCTGTGGATTTGGGGGGCTGATGCGCCTTCTGTATGTTTAAGAATAACAGAACAAAACAAGACAGAGCTTGTCAAATAAAGTTAACTGAAATATTGATGATTCAGGGAAAACTGTCCTTAGAAAACATTTTTCTTAGTGTGTGCATTCTTAGTATTATACATGGAATGTATGACCATAGACATATTTAGTATCAATTAAATCAATTCTTCATCGATTTATCCCTTTATTCGGTCACTACTTGAATGGCTCCCATGTACCAAGGTACCAGGCACTGTGCTAGTAGGGAAAAAATGTGAACTAGCAGTTCTTTTCCTTAAATAAATCAGAGTCCACTGGAAAGCAAGATGGGAAGGGAAGGAAGCTGACATATGGAGCATGGCCCTGTGCTCAGCATTTTTACATACTTAAATTGCCATTAATCGTCAGAAATCCCCCTACTGACCTATGAGGAAGTTGTTATATTGAAAAGGATTTGTGGAGTCATGGATAACAGTCATGGCCTGGGTTCAAATCTTGGGCCTTACCCTATCTGTGCCTTAGTTTCCCTCTTTGAAAAACAGATTATTATGGCACCCACCTCACAGGTCTGTTGTGCAGATTGACATGAGGACACAGGGGAAATGCTTAGAACAGTGCCTGCACATAGTAGATAATCACATAGTAATGATGAATACTAACATCCCTATTTGTGTGATGATAATATCATTTACTAGGCAATACAAGTAAGTAGTGGGAGCAAAGATCCTAATATAGGTATACCAACTAAGTCTCAGAAATTCCCACAAAACAATTCTCTCTCTCTCCTCAAAATAATTTTATGTGTCAGGAGTGGAAAATAAATTCACATTTTCAGTTGGAAACCAGAACCCCAAATGATAGAAGATGAACCTCAATGATGACACCTTAGGTAGTTCAGCTCTTCTTACATTTGTTCTTTATTAATATTGGTACAATAAACTACAACAGGTTTGCTACCTTTGGCATTAAAGATACTAAAGAATATTAAGTTGTGTGAAGCACCAATTATATTGACTTTCTGTGAAGGAATGCAGGTTCTTTGTACACATTAATTGATGAAGCTTATGCTAGTTCTCCTCTTTTGTGCAGAAATACATTATTTCTAGATCGTGTGTTTATTTGGGGCTTTTTTCTTTTCTGGATTGGGAGGGTGATTGGAGAATATATTACTGATCTGCCTGTCAGTGCTGTTGTGTTCCCCAGTCCCTGTGTAGTGGAGATAAAGCTGCTCCTGCACCCACTCTGAAAGGAGAGACCATTCCCTGTTCCAAATGTGGTCACCGGAACCGCCGGGGAGCTTGCTTTTGTGATTGGTGTGGAGCCATGGTAGGTATTTTAAAACTGAGCTTTTTTATGCAGAGCACCTCACCACAACCCTAGAAAGAGCCAGGAGCCCCCTCTAACACAGCCTTACAGAAATCACTTCTTGGGATTTGGGTCCTAGCACTTATGTACCTAAAAATTTGGAGACAGAGATAGTTAATTCTCTTAAATTGAGAATGGTCTCTTATTGCTGTTTTAATTTGCATTTCTTTCATGTTAAACTTATTTGCTTATTTGTTGACAGTTGGTACTTTTCTTATGAGTTAATTTTCTGCTTACCTTTTTAATAAAACACTCAAAATTCATTGCTTATTTGAGTATTTCATGTGAATAATACAAAAGAGTTAGTGTGCAGAGTTAGTCTTTCCTCTCACCCCAGTCCCACACCTCTTTTCCCTAGAAGCAATCACTGTCACCCAGTTTCTGCAGTGTTCTTTCAGCCATTCAATGCACTAAGTAAACTGTTAGTTTAATATGAACACTGATCTAATTCTCTCCACCTGGCAATATATCTTGTTAATAACCTCCTTGTTCTCTTTAGTGAGTTCATAATATTCTTTTGTCTGTATGTACCATGATATATTTAGGCCATTCTCTCTTGCTGGACATTTGTTTCCAATTATTTCCTCTAAAATCACAATCTTTCAAGGAATGGTCTTACACACTTCTATGTGTATTTGGCCATCTGCAGGATAAAGTACACATTTATTCCAGAAGGTAGAATTGCAGGGTCGGAGGGTATCGGCATGTATTATTTTGATGACTGGTATTGGAATAATTTGTATGGGAAAATTATGATTCTAATATTCATGAAAGTATAAAAATATTTTCTACCTTCCAGCTTGGCATTCCTGCTCGCTACTCTGTTTGCCCTAAATGTGGGGCCAGCAACTATCCATCTGCTGGATTCTGTGGCTCTTGTGGTATTTACCTCAAGTCCTTGGCAAAACTTAGTGTGGACAACACCCTGGCTCTAGCTGAGGGAGAACCTGGCCCTTGTGCTGAGGTGAGACCTTCCCTGCCGTTTTATGTGAGTAATATTCTAGTTATGTTCTAATAATTATCATTATATTCTGATATTTTATGTTTCTGCCTCACTCATAGCCCAGGTCTGCCTGTCAGTCTCTAAATGTTACTTTACCCAAAGCTGATGTTGGAACTAAGAAGGATGTAGGTACACAGACCACTGGCCTCTTCTACCCATCTGGCAAGCTACTAGCAAAAAAGGAATTGGAAATGGCTTCTCATAAGCAGCGACAGGAGAAAATGAGTGACCATAAACCTCTACTCACAGCCATCAGCCCAGGAAGAGGTGAGGAGAAAGATATGCTCTCTTGTTAGAAGAGAACTCTTTCTTTGAAAGAAAAATTTCGGTTTTTCTTCCTTCATACTTATTTTTATATATAAGAAATTGGTTCCTTTATTTTACTTTTTTCAAGTAATTTTCATTTGTATGAGTAATAGCTCTTCCTTTAACTTGCAATACTCTGGTGTTTTGACTCATAGCCTCCTATCTAGTTTGTAAATCAAATAGCACACATGGATTTCTGCTATTACGGCAGAAATGGTTGTTAATCTGTTATTATTGCTATTTGCTGTTATCTCTTTATTTTATTATGATAAAATTCACATAACAATTCACCATTTTAACTATTTTACAATTCAGCAGTTTAGTATCTTAGTAATATCATACAACCATCTCTCTGTGTCCAGAACATTCATATATATATATATATTTTATGTTGAAATTACTTTTTTAAAATTGTCGTTCAAGTACAGTTTTCTCCATTTTCCCTCCACCACTTTCCCCCTGTCCCACCCACCCCCACCTCCTACCCTCAATCCTTTCCTGCTTTGGCTTTGTCAATGGGTCCTTTATGCATGTTCTTTGATGACCCTTCCCCTTCTCTCCCCCATAATCCCCTCCCTCTCCCCTCTGATTACTGTCAGTTTGTTCTTTATATAAATGTCTCTAGTTATATTTTGCTTGTTTGTTTGTTTGTTTGTTTTTTATTTTATTTTTTTAAATTGATTATGCTGTTACAGTTGTTCTATTCCCCCCTTCATTCCCCTCCACCCTGCCCCCCCATCCCCACCATTACCCCCCTTTAGTTTATGTCCATGTGTCTCAAGTCCTTTAGCATTTCCCATGCTATTCTTGCCCCCCCTTCTATTTTCTATCTACTGTCTATGCTACTTATTTTCTGTACCTTCTCCCCCCATCTCCTCCTCCCACTCCCCTGTTGCTCACCCTCCTTGAGATCTTCATTTCTATGTTTCCACTCCTGATCTAGCTGTTCTTTTAGTTTGCTTTCGTTTTAGGTGTGGTTGTTAATAACTGTGAGCTTGTTGTTCTTTCACTGTTCATGTTTCTTTAACTTCTTTTTCTTAGATAAGTCCCTTTAACATTTCATATAATAAGGGCTTGGTGATGATGAACTCCTTGAATTTGATCTTATCTGAGAAGCACCTTATCTGTCCTTCCATTTTAAATGAAAGTTTTGCTGGATAGAGCAATCTTGGTTGTAGGTCTTTAGATTTCATGACTTGGAATATTTCTTTCCAGCCCCTTCTTGCCTGTAAGGTCTCTTTTGAGAAATCTGCTGACAGTCTGATGGGGACTCCTTTGTAGGTGATTGTCCCCTTAGCTCTTGCTGCTTCTAGGATTCTCTCCTTCATTTTAATTTTGGCTAATGTAATTATGATATGCCTCGGTGTGTTTCTTCTTGAGTCCAACTTTTTTGGTACTCTCTGAGCTTCTTGGATTTCTTGGAAGTCTATTTCCTTTGCCAGATTGGGGAAATTTTCTTTTATTATTTGTTCAAATAATTTTTCCACTGGTGGTTGTGTCTTTCCCCCTTCTGGTACCCCTATAATTCGGATATTGGAGCGTTTAAAGATGTCCTGGAGGTTCCTAAGACTCTCCTCATTTCTTTGAATTCTTGCTTCTTGACTCTTTTCTGTTTGGCCATTATTTGCTTTCTTCTGGTCCACTCCATTGATTTGAGTCCCAGTTTCCTTTTCATCGTTATGGGTTTCCTGTGGAATTCCATTCATTTCCCTTAGTTTAGCCTTCATATGTTTCTCTAATTTGTGGCTATAATCAACCAGATCTGTGAGGATCCTGATGACCAGTGTTTTAAACTGTGCGTCTGAGAGTTTTGCTATTTCTTCGTCACTTAGATTTATCTCTGGGGCTTTGAGGTCTTCCTGCTACATTTTTGGTCTGTTCTGGCCCTTTAAATGTGAGAAGCGGCGCCTTGGACTCCCAGGTCGCTGGGTTGTGACACTGTATGTGGGGGCATGGTCAGAGCGGGGAAATGGCGGCGCCCTCTACTGCCGCTGCCACGGGGACCGCCGGGGCCCCGGTCCAACCGCCCACTCTCTCGCCTGTCCGCTCGCCTGCAAATAGGCAACCGCAGTCAACACGCAGCACCGCCTCCCCACTGTCTCCTCAGCAGTCGCTCACCTGGTGGGTTGCTCGGTCGCTCACTAGGTCCAATCCTGCGTTTGGAACCCGTGCGTCTGGATTCAGGCGTCTGGATTCCGCGCCCGGGTCTGACCCAGACCTCCTGTGCAACCCCTCACGAGATGCCGGTTTCGCCCCTTACCGGTCGGGCTGAAGAATTTGTTGTTAACGGACTTCTGAAAAGTTCAATTTTCCATGTTCTGGTTGTGTTTTCTGATGCTAATATTTAGTTGTCCCTAAACTTGGCTGTGTGAGAAGGCACGGCACATCCACCTATACCTCCATCTTGGCGGAAGTCTGTTTGTTTGTTTTTTTATTAGGTTCCACTTATAGGTGAGATCATATGGTATTTGTCTTTCACCACTTGCCTTATTTCACTTAACATAATGCTCTCCAGTTCCATCCATGCTGTGGTAGGAGGGTAGGAGCTTCTTTCTTTCTGCTGTGCAGTATTCCATTGTGTAAATGTACCATACTTTTTTGATCCACTCATTTACTGATGGGCACCTAGGTTGCTTCCAACTCTTGGCTATTGTAAATTGTGCTGCTATGCAAAAAGAAAAAGAAAATATCTGGGAATAAACCTAACCAAGGAGGTAAAAGACCTGTATGCAGAAAACTACACAACACTGAAGAAAGAAATCAGGGAAGACACAAACAAATGGAAACATATACCTTGTTCATGGATTGGAAGAATTAACATTATCAAAATGTCCATACTACCCAAAGCAATATACACATTCAATGCAATACCTATTAAAGTACCAATGGCATATTTCACAGACATAGAACAAACACTTCAAAAATTTATATGGAACCATAAATGAGCCCGAATAGCAGCTGCTCTTTTGAGAAAGAAGAACAAAGTAGGAGGGATCACAATACCTGATATCAAACTGCATTACAAAAGTACTGTAATCAAAACAGCCTGGCACTGGCATAAAAACAGGCACATAGACCAATGGAACAGAACAGAGAGCCCAGAAATCAACCCAACTCTCTACAGTCAATTAATATTTGACAAAGGGGGCGGTAACATAAAATGGAGGAAAGATAGCCTCTTCAACAAATGGTGCTGGGAGAACTGGACAGTTATGTGCAAAAAAATGAAACTTGAGCACCGACTTACACCATACACCAAAATAAATTCAAGGTGGATAAAAGACTTAAATATAAGCCATGACACCATTAAAGTCCTAGAGGAGAACATTGGCAAGAAAATCTCAGATATTCCACGCAGCAACATTTTTACCAATATGTCCCCTAGAGCAAGGAATATAAAGGAAAGAATAAACAAATGGGATCTCATCAAAATAAAAAGCTTCTGCATGGCTAAAGAAAACAGTATTAAATTAGCAAGACAACCAACTGTATGGGAAAACATATTTGCCAATGATACCTCAGACAAAGGTTTAATCTCCAAAACAGAATTTACATGACTCCACTCTAGGAAGACATCAAACCCAATTAAAAAATGGGAAAAGGACTTGAACAGACACTTCTCTAAAGAGGACATACAGAATATCCAGAGACACATGAAGAGATGCTCAATATCGTTAGCTATCAGAGAGATGGGAATTAAAACCACAATGAGATACCACTTTACACCAGTCAGGATGGCTATAATAGACAAAGCAACAAACAACAAATGTTGGAGAGGTTGTGGAGAAAAGGGGTCCTTAGTTCACTGTTGGTGGGATTGCAGACTGGTGCAACCATTAGGGAAACAGTATGGAATTTTCTCAGAAAAATAAAAATTGACCTGCCTTTTGACCCAGCAATTCCACTGCTAGGACTATGTCCCAAGAATCCTAAAACATCAATTTCAAAGAACCTATGCACCACAATGTTCATAGCAGCACAATTTACAATATCCAAGAGCTGGAAGCAACCTAGGTGCCCATCAGTAAACGAATGGATCATAAAATTTTGGTACATATACACAATGGAATTCTATGCAGCAGAGAGAAAGAAGGAGCTACTACCCTTTGCAACAACATGGATGGAATTGGAAAGCATTATGCTGAGTGAAATAGGCCAGGCATTGAAAGACAACTACCATATGATCTCACCTTTAACAGGAAGCTAAACAACAAAACAAACAAGCAAGCAGAAAAAGAAACAAAGACACTGAAATAGAGAAGAAGTGGGCAGTGACCAGAGGGGAGAGGGAAGGGAATTTAAGGGGGAAATGGGGGAGGGACTTTGAGGAGCAAGTGTGAAAGACACAGGGATGAGGACTAGGGGAGAGGAAGTGGGAGGGAGGTGGGGAGGCAGGGCAGGAGGGGCTGGGATGGGAAAAATAGACAAAAAATGTACTTGAAAAATAACTAAATAAAATTAAAAAAAACAAAAAAAATTTAAATAAATTGTGTTGCTATGAACATTGGGGTGCATAGGCTCTTTTGAATTGGTGTTTTAGGATTTTTAGGGTACAATTCCAGCAGTGGTATTTGCTGGATCAAAAGGTAGTTCCATTTTTAGTCTTCTGAGGAAATTCCATACTTTTTTCCATAGTGGCTGCACCAATCTGCATTCCCACCAACATTGTACTATGGTTCCCTTTTCTCCACAGCCTTGTCAGCACTTACTATTTGTTGATTTGTTTATCCTGGCCATTCCAAATGGTGTGAAGTGGTATCTTACTGTGGTTTTAATTTGCATCTCTTTGATGGCTAGTGATGCTAAGCATCTTTTTATGTGTCTCTGGGCCCTCTGTATGTCCTCCTTGGATAAGTGTCTATTCAGATCCTTTGCCCATTTTTTAATTGGATTTTTTGTCTTCCTGGAGTGGAGTCATGTGAGTTCTTTATATATTTTGGAGATCAAAGTGTCCAAAACAT